AGATGCTCAAACGTTCATAGATGACAAGCAGGATGAAATAATAATCGCAGTGGTTGTAGAGTGTGCAACAGGTCAGCACCTCAGGAGTAAATGTTAGTTGGCTTTTCATAGCCGAGCATTCAGAGGTCGAAACAGTAGGTGCGGATGAGAGGGAGAGAGAGAAGGAGGGAGAGAGAGAGAGATAGGGTCAAACAGCAGGTCTGGGAAAAGGTAGGACGTCCAGTGAACAGGTCAGGGTTCCAAAGCCACAGGCAGAACAGCAGAAACTGGATCAGCAGCACGACCAGGTGGACTGGGAACGGGAAGTCAGGAGTTGTCAGGCCAGGTAGTCCTGGGGAGGGGGGGGGGGGGGTGGACCATGCCAAAGCACAGCCCCCACACCACTACAGGGATATCAACAGACCACCAACTTACTACTCTGAGACAAGGCTGAGTACAGCCCATGAAGATCTTTCCAGTCTGTCTACAGTATGTCCATGCAGCAGAGCTAATATTATGTCCCCTCCTCTGTCTGTCTGTCCTCTACATTGTGTCCATGCAGCAGAGCTAATATTATGTCCCCTCCTCTGTCTGTCTGTCCTCTACATTGTGTCCATGCAGCAGAGCTAATATTATGTCCCCTCCTCTGTCTGTCTGTCCTCTACATTGTGTCCATGCAGCAGAGCTAATATTATGTCCCCTCCTCTGTCTGTCTGTCCTCTACATTGTGTCCATGCAGCAGAGCTAATATTATGTCCCCTCCTCTGTCTGTCTGTCCTCTACATTGTGTCCATGCAGCAGAGCTAATATTATGTCCCCTCCTCTGTCTGTCTGTCCTCTACATTGTGTCCATGCAGCAGAGCTAATATTATGTCCCCTCCTCTGTCTGTCTGTCCTCTACATTGTGTCCATGCAGCAGTGCTAATGTGATGTCCCCTCCTCTGTCTGTCCTCTACAGTGCGTGGCCCTGCACTGTGTTCTGGTACCTCCCATGTCCTGGCCTGCTAAGCCTGGTGTCTCCTCACTGGGCCTGGGCTATAGCTGAACCAGGGCTGCTGCTGGTACTACTGCTGCTGGTACTGGTACCACTACTTGTACTTGTGGTGGTGGGTGTCCCAACCCAGGGGCCTGGAGGAGCCCTGTCCACCTCCCAGCCACACGAAGATGAACAAACTGACCGGCTTCCACAATAACAAAGCTATGCAGGACCGCCGCTGTGTCTGTGTCTTTCTCCCCAATGACGACACGCTTAACGTCATCGTCAATGTGAGTACTGCGTCTCACCTAGCTACCTTAAAATGAATGCACTAACTGTAAGCTGCTCTGGATAAGAGCATCTGATGAATGAGTATAATATAAATATACATGTATATAGGACCTCAGTACTGTTCAGGTGTATGTAAGGTAAGACCACTGGTATCAAGACTGTAGTGGAACTGTTCTCACTATGTTAGGATTATATTTGTGATTAAGACATAGTGTATTATCCAAAAGCAAGGGTCAGGAATTGCAGTAAATGTTTTATTTTACTTTCAAACTGGCAATTCCATTCATCCTTGTATCACAGTGTGTCTAAATTAGGTCTGTCCCCGGAAAAAGAAATCTTGGTCGACCGAAAGTCGTCTGTTCTTTCGACCAATCGATTGCTCTAAAATGTTAAACGTGTATTTTTCCATATATAGACACACCCTATGTGTTTTAATAAAATAAACTATATGCATTGAGCTTGTCTGATGTGTAAAGCTTTGGTGAAATAAAACAAATGCCTCACGAGAGCGCCAGAGAGCTAGATAACCATAAGAACAAACCCTGACCCAACTATTCTCCTCCCGCTCCTGCTGGCTTTCGCAGATTCTGCCATTACTCTCCTGAAGTTGCCGGTAATAGGCTACACGAGGAGTCGGCAACCTTTCTCATGTTGAATGCGAATTTATCTTACTATTTCTACCGATCTGTGTGCCAGTTATGGTTCATATGCACATTGTCGTGAAACAGTTTAATTTCCTTTATAATAACATCTTCATATCTCAAATCATTGTCATGTGGTTAATCAAAATTCTATTCAAATCTAAATAAAAATGATATGCACCAATTTGTAAGTCGCTCTGGATAAGAGCGTCTGCTAAATGACGTAAATGTAAATGTAAAATGTAACAAACCTAAAAAGTACCTTCTATTGCCATTGCCAACTATGTAAAAATAGCCTACATAAAGCCAACAAATAAAAACATTGCAGCCTGCAGGTAGAAAATATCCTGATAAAAATCACATTGGCTACACATGGCCTGTCTGCAACGAACTTGAAACATTGTATCAACTATAAAGTTGAGTCCAGCCCCGAAGCTTGTGCTAGCGAATTTGCAATATTTTATAAAATATTCTGGGCCCTCAGTGTTCTGCCAGTGAGCTCAGGACAGACACAGCTGTAGGCTATTTGCGCAAAGGAAAACGAAACAGTGTTTGACTTGGACAGGAGCTCACTGGAACTGAGTACCGGCACCTCAAATGTTCTACTGCTTGAGCTCCTGTTCCTCTTATACACTACCAGTCAAAGGTTTTAGAACACCTACTCATTCAAGGGTTTTTCTTTATTTTTACTATTTTCTACATTGTAGAATAATAGTGAAGACATCAAAACTATGAAATAACACATATGGAATCATGTAGTAAACAAAAAAGTGTAAAACAAATCAAAATATATTTTACATTTGAGATTCTTCAAATAGCCACCCTTTGCCTTGATGACAGCTTTGCACACTCTTGGTGTTCTCTCAACCAGCTTCACCTTGAATGCTTTTCCAACAGTCTTGAAGGAGTTCCCACATATGCTGAGCACTTGTTGGCTGCTTTTCCTTCACTCTGCGGTCCAACTCATCCCAAACCATCTCAATTTGGTTGATGTCGGGGGATTGTGGAGGCCAGGTCATCTGATGCAGCACTCAATCACTCTCCTTCTTGGTAAAATAGCTCTTATACAGCCTTGAGGTGTGTTGGTTCATTGTCCTGTTGAAAAACAAATGATAGTCCCACTAAGCCCAAACCAGATGGGATGGCGTATCGCTGCAGGATACTGTGGTAGTCATGCTGGTTAAGTGTGCCTTGAATTCTAAATAAATCACAGACAGTGTCACCATCAAAGCACCCCCACATCATAACACCTCCTCCTCCATGCTTTACGGTGGGAAATACACATGTGGAGATCATCCGTTCACCCACACCGCGTCTCACAAAGACACGGCGGATGGAACCAAAAATCTCCAATTTGGACTCCAGACCAAAGGGCAAATTTCCACCGGTCTAATATCCATTGCTCGTGTTTCTTGGCCCAAGCAAGTCTCTTCTTCTTATTGGTGTCCTTTAGTAGTGGTTTCTCTGCAGCAATTCAACCATGAAGGCCTGATTCACACAGTCTCTGAACAGTTGATGTTGAAATGAGATTACTTGAACTCCGTGAAACATTTATTTGGGCTGCAATTTCTGAGGCTGGTAACTCTAATGAACTTATCCTCTGCAGCAGAGGTAACTCTGGGTCTTCCATTCTTGTGGCGTGCCTCATGAGAGCCAGTTTCATCATAGCGCTTAATGGTTTTTGCGACTGCACTTGAAGTAACCTTCAAAGTTCTTGAAATGTTCCTTTTTGATTGACCTTCATGTCTTAAAGAAATGATGGACTGTCGTTTCTCTTTGCTTATTTGAGCTGTTCTTGCCATAACATGGACTTGGTCTTTTACCAAATAGGGCTATCTTCTGTATACCCCCACTACCTTGTCACAACACAACTGATTGGCTCAAACGCATTAAGAAGGAAAGAAATTCCAGGTGACTACCTCATGAAGCTGGTTGAGAGAATGCCAAGAGTGTGCAAAGCTGTCATCAAAGCAAAGGGTGGCTATTTGAAGAATCTCAAATATAAAATATATTTTGATTTGTTTAACACTTTTTTGGTTACTACATGATTCCATATGTGTTATTTCATAGTTTTGATGTCTTCACTATTATTCTACAATGTAGAAAATAGTAGAAATAAAGAAAAACCCTTGAATGAGTAGGTGTTCTAAAACATTTGACCGGTAGTGTAGAATATTAGCTCAAAAGTATTGTGGAGCTCCTGCACCTAAATATAAACAGTACCAGCACCCAAAATGAGTACCGGAACCTATTTCAGTCCAAGTCAGCACTGTTAAGAAGTAATCAGGTAGGCCTATTTTATGAAGTTTCCACTGGATCAGAGCATGACATTTTTCGCTTTGATGCTGAGTGGTTATAGAAAGGGATAGAGATGGAAAGATTTTTCAGGTAGCTTATAGGCCTACTTCTATGTGTGGGCGTCCTTACTCAACATTGAATGGAGTGCTCCAAACAAAAGACAATGACAAAACTTGTAAATGGAATGAAATAAATCTAAACTTGTTTCTCACAAGTGTAGCATAGGTTGTGCACTCTGCAAACAATGTGTCCACTCCGACAATGAGAATGGGAAGACTGGAATAATAATATTGAATGCATTAAAATAATTACCATAACCAGCGCAACAAACATTTAGATGAGATATTATAGGAATTAACGGTAAATGTACTACTGGTGATATATGTAATGGGGAATTGATCTGTCCATAAGGTGTAGATAGTAAGTATAGACCGGAAGTAGAGGCCTGGGCATTGTTGTTCACTAATTTACTTCAAGTAGGGAAAGGATGGTGGGGTTGAAAAGTAATAAAGGGGAGTATATATATAAAAAAAAAAAAAAAAAAAAAAAACATGGGGGATTGGAAGTGATGCAGACAATTACATTGATAGAAGATACAATCTATCTGCAATATTAAAAATATATATATATATATGTTACTGCTCAACTAAAACAATCTCGGTCGACCAACAGCCTAACGACCAAACAATCGACCAGTCGACTAATTGGGGTCAGCCCTAGTCTAAATACCGTCTAAATGACTGTCTCCGATCTCCACCTGTACATCCTGACCTCTGACCTCTTGCTGTGTGTTCTCTCTCTCTCTCTCTGCTCAGGTGAAGACTTTGTGCCAGGAGCTGCTCATCCAGGTGTGTGACCTGCTCCGACTGAAGGACTGTCACCTGTTTGGACTCAGTGTAATTCAGAGTAAGAATGGTTTACCGTTGTCGCTGTGTGTGTGTGTGCGTGTCTGTCTGTGTGTCCATCATCCATGGCTATGTGTGACATCTCTCGCCTCACTGTAACGTCTGTCTGTCTACCATCTCAGTCCCTATCTCAGCCTGACTGACTGGGGCCCATTGTCTCTGTGGTTAAAGTAGCCACTTACTGTGTGTCATATCAAAGGCATAAGCCTTCCTCTGTACAGAAAGGTCCCAATGAGTTACGCCTCAATTCTCCAGAGGTATGCAATCGTGTACTTCATCCTGCACATTTAAAAGCATTGGATTTGTGTGTATACATGGGTTAGAGGGAGTTTCCACCACAGGCGCCGGTGGAAACTTAATTGGGGAAGACGGGCTCTTAGTAATAGCTGAAATTGAATAAATGGAATGGTATCGAACACATCAAACACACGGTTTCCATGTGTTTCATGCCATGCCATGCCATTCACTCTATTCCAACCATTATTATGAGCCGCCATCCCCTCAGCAGCCTCCTGTGGTTTCCATATGTCTCATACCAGTCCTTTCCTTATAAATCAATTAAGGGAAGTGAACAAGTGCACACTTGGGACAGAAGGATGGATAATTAGAACAGATAATTAGACTCTCCTAGGCAGCCTTTGAGCAACCATTATGTCAGACAGCCATTCTACTGACTGGGCTGAACCAGTCCCTCTGGTGCGCGCTCTCTCTCTCTCGTTCTTTTTCTCTTGATCACTCTCTCTCTGTCTCTCTGTCATCTTAATCTTCTCTGTTAGTCATGCGTGTTATGAGCTGAGAGTTTCCCTGCTGAACCAGCAGGTTTGGCTCTTCTATAAAAGCCCTTGGAGTGGAAAAGTCAAGGATCAGAAAAGACTCTAAGTCCTGCAGAACAGATGATTAACTAGACATTTCACCAGGCAGACTGACTGTAGAGTGAGAGAGAGACAAAAAGGAGTGATGATGACTGGTAAATCAGAGCTTATCTAGCCAACTGGTCTGCTCCCTAGTTGTGCTGGAGAGAGGTTGGGGTGGAGTGGGGTGACAGAGGCATGGGGACAGAGTGATGATTGGTCAGTGCGAGGGACACAGAGGCTAAGGGGGTTGGAGCTGGGGCTGGGGGTGGATGGTAGGGCTGGGGGTAGGGTTCGAGTGGGGGTGGATAGTCACTGTTTGCCTTGTGATTTCATGCTGTTCAGACAAGCAGCTCAGGAATGTCCCTAAGCCTCACTGGCTCCTGGTCAATAGACCTGTCCTGCAGGGCATGTGATTGGCTCATACTGAAGACCTGCAGGCATGCCATTGGCTCAGAGACCTGTCCTTTAGGCTTAGCATTGGCTCATTTCATCTGGTGGCCATCTGTCTGACCTGCACTGCTGCAACGTGCTTTCCTTTGCAGTTGCTTTCACACTGTAAAAAAAATGACTCTTTGGATCAACCTAAAAAATTGCATCAACTGGTTACAAGTAAATGAGTTAGGTTTTCTTTATTGAAAAAAAAACGACATTTGTCGAAAAACAAATACATGATTCAATGCCAACTGTTATATTTGATTATTAACAACCCTATATTTGAAGTTGCAACCGACTTCTTTCAACACTCAACTTACTTTTCCCCTTTGATTAAACCTAATAAATAACATAAATACAAACTATATATATATTACACAACCCATGTGTTCATGTTGTACCAAATACATTGTTCACTTTGGAATTACCTATCCAAATTTTCAATTGGGTTACAAGCAGTTAAATACATTTCCTGTTAATCAAGATATTAAGTTGGTTCCATAACATAAAAGAATGACTACAAACACTTTCTTTACATACAACTTTCACATTAACTGGTTACAATATTGTCACTAAATGGTGACCATCTCATCAATGAAAACCTTTCCAGGCTGTTTAGTATCACATTACTAGTATCACATATATAATTTAAGATTCAGTGCTGGCAGTGAGCATATAATCATAAAAAAACAGAACACATTACCTGAAATGACATTCACTGTCACGGGTGGCCAAAAATAACAAACGGAAAGCCACGCCACATATAGGCCACGCCCCCAACTCTTTTGATAGGCTGCCGCCACTACATTGCACCTGCAGGTTAGCATTTTTCATCATGAATCTTGTTCTGGAGCAGGGCTCTCCAACTCTCTTCCTGGAGAGCTACCCTCTTGTAGGTTTTCGCTCCAACCCCAGTTGTAACTAACCTGATTCAGCTTATCAACCAGCTAATTATTAGAATCAGGTGCGCTAAATTAGGGTTGGAGCAAAAACCTACTGGACGGTAGCTCTCCAAGAACAGGGTTGGAGAGCTCTGTTCTGGAGGCAGCGCTGCAGAGGTCACTAGCTAGCACAGCCACAAAGTCATGCACCGCTATGCAATGTGAATGTGTATGAGATGTGTAAAACAATTTAGCTTCCATTCAATAACAAAAAATCACATTGATCTGTCAAATTCGTCATTTGAATATGTTGAACAAACCAAAGTGTAATTTTGGATCATACCAATCAGAAAAAATACTTCAGATGAACAACAGTGCAGTCCCACTTTTTACAGTTCAATTGTCACCTGATATCTGTCTGTCAACCTGTATGTCTGCTACACAGGAGTCAATGTGTGACTCATCGTGCTTTCAAGACCACTAGGAACTTGGGGAAAAAAACGAGGTCGTATCATGATGTCAGTGATCTTCAGGTCAGAAAGTCGGAGCTCTAGAAAGAGGCCCGAGTTGGATGACCGTTCAAAAATAATTTTCCCAGTTCTCTTGAACGTTCGGAAGTCTGAGTTTTCCCAGTTCCAAATTCCCAGTTGTTTTGAACGGGGCATAATTCCATGCATATGACCACTCTGTTATCATAAAGTGACTTAGGTTAACCCATAGAGTTAGATAGAGGACTCTAGATGGATAAAACTCGAATTGGCATGGACATTGCCATTGAGGGCTTCCTCCATTTTAAAGTAGTCAACTGGGTGGGACATCCTATGGGTTAATGAAGGATCACATGATTCCATCAGGGTAATCAGGAGGGATCAGCCAATGAATTATACTCGTGATAAACACTAGGTGGCAGTATGCACCCTTACAATTTGTTTGCCAACTCATAGAAGTAGTAGAAGAAGAAAATTGACTACTTCAAAATGGAGCTAGTCTCAATGGCGCTGCCTGTGCGCTCACAGACACCATAATGGGACATATATAAAGATGATATCTCTATCTAACCCTTCTGTGTGTCATCAAAAGCAATTTAGGTTATCCCTGGGCCATGTTCAAGAGCATCAAAACCGTGATGTATCATGCGTAAATTGTGACTGACTGATCTACAAATAATATTGAGTAGTTGTTCATGATCCAAAGTGATTTGTAGATCAGTAAGTCTTGACTGGCCTTTAAAGTCGACTGCAATGTCGAACGCGTCCCTGGGCTTGGTCGCGTTTCCCTACTCAGACGTTGCGTGCATCAACCAATGGTTGCGTGCCACGTGATCGACTGTGCCGTCAGGCACCAGATTGCTAGAACATGTGGTTTGCCGATACGTAAAATATCTATCCAGGTGTTGTAAGATCTGGCATGCGTCCTCAGCAACACCTGGGCAGAGGAATGCACCCATTGTTTGACATTGCAGTCGACTGCCAACTGACTGATCTAATAAATTACCTTGCATCATACTCACTACTCATTATTATTTGTAGATTAGTCAGTCGCAATTGACCCACAATGCATCACATATTGCATCACATATTTAATGCTCTCTAACACGGCCGCTTTCTGTATGTGTCGTCATAAAGCAACTCAGGTTAACCCTTTGTGTGTTTCCCCCTCCAGACAATGAGCACATCTACATGGAGCTGGGCCAGAAGCTGTCCAAGTATTGTCCCAAGGAGTGGAAGAGAGAGGCCAGCAAGGTGAGTCAATCTGCAGCAGTGGTTCCCAACCAGGGGTACTAGGACCCCTGGGGGTACTTAGCCTATCCACAGGGGGTACTTGAGAAGACTCATGAGACCATAGGCCTACTGGTCAAATGCCCACTTCAGGGGTACTCCTGGCAGAGCAAAAATCAGGTTGTGGTACAGTAACCAAAAAAGGTTGGGAACCACTGGTCTACAGTACAAGACAACAGTAGTATCTCTCTAGAGACTTGGAAAATGGCTTTTTATTTATTTATTTATTTATTTAACCTTTTATTTAACCAGGTAAGCCAGTTGAGAACAAGTTCTCATTTACAACTGCGACCTGGCCAAGATAAAGCAAAGCAGTGCAATAAAAAACAACAACACAGAGTTACATATGGGGTAAACAAAACATAAAGTCAAAAATACAACAGAAAATATATACACAGTGTGTGCAAATGTAGCAAGTTATGGAGGTAAGGCAATAAATAGGCCATAGTGCAAAATAATTACAGTTAGTATTAACACTGGAATGATAGATGTGCAAGAGATGATGTACAAATAGAGATACTGGGGTGCAAATGAGCAAAATAAATAACAATATGGAGATGAGGTAGTGGGCTTGCAAGATTACCCCTTTAGAAAATAAAAAGGAAAAGCCGCACACTAAGGGCTCCGATGCAATAATTGATTTAACCAACGTTTCGAAAGCTAAGCTGTCTTCATCAGGGTGTCAAGGTTTTCAAGATTACCGCAACAGACATAGTACATCTTAAATTCGATGTGAGCAACTGCTTTTGATTTCACTGTCAGGATGGTAGTTTGATATTTTATTGATAGAATGAATACACTGTCTTGATGGTTTGATTTGCTCGAAAGTATCCAAACAATGTTTTTCATTGGTATCTTGTTGTTTTCAGGGCATCGACCAGTTTGGGCCTCCCATGATTATCCACTTCAGGGCTCAGTATTACGTTGAGAATGGGAGATTAATAAGGCAAGTAATCTCACAGAGATCCTATAAATTACTATTAGCAATAGTACTGTACTATTTTATTCTGATAGATGCTGAGACTACAGCACAAATAGAATGGAGACCTAGGCCGGGATTCAATCCAAGACTATGTTGTAGCAGGCTTGTCATTTAAAGGTCATTTCCGATTGAGCCGACATCTGCAGCGTTTACCGTGAATGCCATCTCATTTAAAAGGCACATTGTCGACAGCTCTCTACGGATTGAATCCCAGCCCTAGTATGCTGAGTTGTGTCTCTAAAGGTTGTTATCAGTGACCATTCAGCCAGGCACTACTACTACTGTCACCGAGTACTACCACTACTGTACTGTAGTATATAGATAGTAGTACTAGTATAATGTCATTATGTTGACCCCACAGTGACTGTTCAGCCAGGTGTTACTGCTACTTTAGTACAGTACAAAGATCTGTAACATAATATTCTCTCTCCTCCCCTTTAGTGACCGCTCAGTTTGATGGTTGTAGCCATCAATTGTCCCATCACCCATATTAGCTAACTTATTTCATTTCAAACTTCACATTTCTCTAGTATAGGCTACTTATCGTGAACGATATCAGCAAAATGCCTGCGATAAGTGATCGGTATGGTCGGTGTCGATAATTTTCGGATTATCGTCCCAGCTCTACCAGGTACTACTACTATATTAGCTATGTAGATCTACTATGGCTATATGTGTCTGAAGGTTATTCTCCTCTCTTCCACATAGTGACCGCTCGGCCAGGTACTACTACTACTGGCACCTGAGGAAACAGGTGTTGCTGTCTCAGTGTATCCAGAGAGAGGAAGCTTACTTTCTGCTGGCAGCCTTTGCCCTCCAAGCCGATATGGGCAACTTCAAACGCAACAAACACTTTGGGAAGTACTTTGAACCTGAGGCCTACTTCCCCCCATGGGTGAGTAGATCTAACCTTTTAACCCAGTGGTATTCAAAGTCGGGGTCGCAACCCCGGGGGAACTGCAGTGGTGTTGTCAAAAGAAAAAGATAATTTGAAAAATACAATTTTATTGATTAAATGTATTTATTGGTTTCTTTTCATTTTGATATGAGATGAAAATGCAAAGAATTGAAGGTTATTTGTTGATGTAAAAATCGAAATGTGCTGATTTTAAGGTTGTGTCATTAGATTTGGGGTGCGGTGGGGCCGGAAAAAATTGGGGTCCCTGCTGAATAAGTTTGAATATCACTGTTCTTTTATTTTACCCCCTTTTTCTCCCCAATTTCGTGATTACGATCTTGTCTCATCACTGCAACTCCCCAACGGGATCGGGTGAGGCGAAGGTCGAGTCATGCGTTCTCCGAAACATGACCCGCCAAGCCACACTTCTTAACACCCGCTCACTTAACCTGGAAGCCAGCTGCACCAATGTGTCGGAGGAAACACTGTTCAACTGACGACTGAAGTCAGCCTGCAGGCACCCAGCCCACCACAAGGAGTCGTAAGAGCGCGATGAGCCAAGTAAAGCCCCACCGGCCAAACCTTCCCCTAACCCGGACGACGCTGGGCCAATCGTGCTCCACCTTATGGGACTCCCGGTCACGGCCGGTTATGACACAGCCTGGGAATGAAACCCAGGCTTTAGTGATGCTGCAACACTGCGATGCAGTGCCTTAGACTGCTGCGCCACTCGGGAGGCCGTTGAATACCACTGTTCTAACCTAACTGGTACCACGTGGTTTCCCAGGCAGTAACATGGAAGGGTTAGGGCCAAAGGGAAGGGGTAGGGAGCGAATTGGGACCGGCTGAGTGTAGTCTAGCACACAGCCTAAATGAAGGTCTATAGTCTGTTTTGTTCATCACTGTGCTCCAAAACTTTGAGATGCTCCCTCAGTGGAGCATGCCAGGATAGCTGGATCTAGGACACTAGTTTTATTTTGGTCCCTGGAAGTGGCACACAGCATGATTGACTCTTTTGAGAAAGGATCTGGATGCGATCCGGCAACTCCCCATCTCAACTTGACCCCCCTCCCCTCTCCCGGACACAACGGTGCCCCACCCCTCTGTTTACCAACCACTTCCTGTGATTAGCCTGTCGCCGTCCCATCTCCATTTTGAAGCCACAGGGACGGAAATGGTTGTACAATCACGAATGGTACATACACTGCATTCGGAAAGTATTCAGACCCCTTGACTTTTTCCACATTTTGTTACGTTACAGCCTTATTCTAAAATGGATTAAAATAGTTTTTTTTCCCCTCATCAATCTACACACAATACCCCATAATGACAAAGCAAAAACAATATATCACATTTACATAAGTATTGAGACCCTTTACTCAGTACTTTGTTGAAGCACCTTTGGCAGCGTTTACAGCCTCGAGTCTTCTTGGGTATGATGCTACAAGCTTGGCACACCTGTATTTGGGGAGTTTCTCCCATTCTTCTCTGCAGATCCTCTCAAGCTCTGTCAGATTGGATGGGGAGTGTTGCTGCACAGCTATTTTCAGGTCTCTCCAGAGATGTTAGATCGGGTTCAAGTCCGGGCTCTGGCAGGGCCACTCAAGGACATTCAGAGACTTGTCCCGAAGCCACTCCTGCGTTGTCTTGGCTGTGTGCTTAGGGTCGTTGTCCTGTTGGAAGGTGAACCTTCGCCCCAGTCTGAGGTCCTGAGCGCTCTGGAGCAGGTTTTTATCAAGAATCTCTCTGTACTTTGCTCCGTTCACCTTTCCCTTGATCCTGACTAGTCTCCCAGTCCCTGCCACTGAAAAACATCCCCACAGCATGATTTTGCCACAACCATGCTTCACTGTAGGGATGGTGCCAGGTTTCCTCCAGACGTGACGCTTGGCATTCAGGGCAAAGAGTTCAATCTTTGTTTCATCAGACCAGAGAATCTTGTTTCTCATGGTCTGAGAGTCTTTAGGTGCATTGGCAAACTCCAAGTGGGCTGTCATGTGTCTTTTACTGAGGAGTGGCTTCTGTCTGGCCACTACCATAAAGGCCTGATTGGTGGAGTGCTGCAGAGATTGTTGTCCTTCTGGAAGGTTCTCCCATCTCCACAGAGGAACTCTAGAGCTCTGTCAGAGTGATCATCAGGTTCTTGGTCACCTCCCTGACCAAGGCCCTTCTCCCCCGATTGCTCAGTTTGGCCGGGTGGCCAGCTCTAGGAAGAGTCTTGGTGGTTCCAAACTTCTTTCATTTAAGAATGATGGAGGCCACTATTCTTGGGGACCTTCAATGCTACAGAAATGTTTTGGTATCCTTCCCCAGATCTGTGCCTCGACACAATCCTGTCTCGGAGATCTACGGACAATTCCTTTGAGCTCCATGCCTTGGTTTTTGCTCTGACATGCACTGTTAACTGTGGCACCTCATATAGACAGGTGTGTGCCTTTCCAAATCATGTCCAATCAATTGAATTTACCACAGGTGGACTCCAATCAAGTTGTAGAAACATCTCAAGGATGATCAATGGAAACAGGATGCACCTGAGCTCAATTTCGAGTTTCATATCAAAGGGTCTAATACATTTGCAAAAATGTATAAAAACCTGTTTTTGCACTGTCATTATGGGGTATAGTGTGTAGATTGCTGAGGATTTGTATTTATTTAATCAATTTTAGAATAAGGCTGTAACGTAACAAAATGTGGAAAAAGTCAAGGGGTCTGAATACTTTCCGAAGGCACTCTTAGTTTGTTCTCTAACTGTTTCTAAATGTATGACTTGTTCAGGAGAAGCACCCCAAATCCAGACCTGACACTGACTGTTTTTCTAGAGTCCAGTGGGATTGGGGGCCCCTCCCTAATTGCACCTTATTTCCTAGATAGGGCTCGGGTCAAAAGTGGTGCACTATATAGGGAATAGGGTGGACCATGCCTTTAGTGCCCAGCTGGATGATGCCTTTTGGGACGTAATATCAGTACGTGAGACATCTGTCCTCCCCTGGGCGGGGGGCTTCATCAACCTCCATTAACCCCACTGGCAAGCCTTCCTTCCTGCCTTCTTCTGCCATTGAGTTGAAATTAGAACCAGCGGCCAGTAATAACACTCCACTGAGACGTTTGTAAGAGAGAATTCCATTTCAGCCTTTATGTCTCTGTTGCTCTCTTCCAGGTGATAGCCAAGCGAGGCCGGGACTACATACTGAGACACATCCCCAACATGCACAAAGACCAGTTTGCCCTCACTGCCTCTGAGGCTTATCTCAAATACATCAAGGAGTGTTCCCAGCTGGATGATGTCACAGTCCACTACTACAAACTCTATAAGGTCAGCGGTCAACCTGGACGACACACACACACACACACACACACACACACACACACACACACACACACACACACACACAATAAACTTGCCAAAAAAACGTCTATCTCTTCCACAGGACAAAAAGGAAGTGGAGGCTTCTCTGACCTTAGGACTGACCCTGCGTGGAATCCAAATATTCCAGGTACGATAGTAAGATTGAAGTGGGTGTGATGGCTTAATGTGTCTTGGAATACACAGTTCATGTGTATGGTTTAGATGATGATTAATATAATGTACTGTATGTTTCTGTGTTTCTTTTAGAATGTGGGGACAGTGAGACAGCTCCTGTATGATTTTCCCTGGAGCAACGTGGGCAAACTGGTATTCGTGGTGAGTAGCAGCATAGAGATAATACATACTGAATAATATGAGTCATGAAAGTCGTGACTTGAGTCCGATTCGAGTACAAGTCCTGGACTCAAGCCCTACAACACTGATATATAGTGCTTTAATTTTATTTATATGAGTAGAGCATCTTCTCCAGTACATCCCTCATTCTTTGTTTCCCTCGTTCATAAATGTCAGAAGTCGGATGTCCTTTGGCACTTAGAAGGCTCAGGGGAATCCCTCTCTCTGGAAGATCTGTTTTTTTTTTCACTCATGATTCCAGCGGTGGTGACACTTTGAAGCTTGGAGCCAGTCCTGGCTTATGGCAGTGGTTAGTTCAGCTCTTGCGCAGGCTACAGTTGTGGAAATAGTGACTCAGCGCTCCTCTTCTCTGTATTACTGTTGGGTCTTCTCACCCCTGCTACAGCTACAACTAGGATGTGTCCCAAATGGCACCCTATACCCTATATAGTGCACTACAAAGGTTATATGGTGCCATTTGGGATGCAGCCATGACCCTCTGGAACTAATCAGGGCTTTAGGAAGACTCTCCCGTTGGCCAGGAAACACACACTCACACACACACATACATGCACATACATCCACGCACACCCACATAATAGCATTATCTCAATTGCTTGCCTGTCTCGTTGAGTCTTTTCTCTCTTTTCTCCATTTAGTTCTTAACAGACCAGATTTATGTGTTTATTTTCCCTTGAAGAAAGCTAGTTAGTCTTCCTATCTTTATTTGTCTGTCCTAAAGCTGAGCAGTAAGCATGGCACGACAGTCAGCTAATTCACTTCACTACCATAGGGTCTCTGTTATCAGAGAGAGCAGCTTACCATGTCTCCATTTCTCAGTCTTAAGCAGAACACACACCACAACGAGGAACTGATGGCCGAGTGCAACTGAGTGCCTCTGATCAGAATATTGGCCAACATTTTTCAACTATTCTACATGTTGACTCGCCACAAACAACCACTGCTCATTGACACCAAGCTGCTGCTTTTACCGTGGCGACATGTAGCCTAGTGGTTAGAGCGTTGGGCCAGTAATCAGAAGGTTGCTAGTTCGAATGCAAAGTGCAAAGTTTGTCAAAGTGCCCTTGAGCAAGGCACTTAATCCTAATTGCTCCAAGGTCATCGTTGATAATGGCAGACCCTGGCCGTGACACCAGTCTCAGGGGGAGTTGGGATATGCAAAAACACATTTCCAATACACACTTGTACATGTGTGAAATAGGACAAATATAAGCACACACCAAATTATTATATTTTAACCGTTCATCGATTCAGTATGTCCAAAATGTAACAGCTTCCTTCTTACAACTATCACACCGTAAATGTCTCAGTGAATTGGTTCCTCTAGTATAGCTCTGTGTAATGACGACTTATACCCTATAATTTCATCTAGTGGTACAGTCATCAATGCCACCGCAATGCCGTGCCACTTACGATAAGAGATCCTGTTTTGTTCTGTGTATATCCCTGTATAGCATTTCTATTCATATAGTAAGACTGAAGAAAGCATGGAGTAATGGTGGATGTGGTTTATATGGGGACTAGAGGGGCCTCTTACAGCGGGGACCGTCAGTCACACCCTTCTTCTGAATAACAGACTCTCTCTCTCTCCGCTGCTGCTCCACCCTGAGCACGTCAGCCGGCCCGGCGCTGCAGTGAGCGGGAGAGGAAAGGAGGGATCGGAGGGAAAGAGGGAGGGAACGGAGGGAGGGAGGGAGGGAGGGAGGGGAGGGAGCGGAGAGAGGGAGGGAGGGAGAGAGCGGAGAGAGGGAGGGAGGGAGCGGAGAGAGGGATGGAGGGAGCGGAGAGAGGGAGGGAGGGAGCGGAGAGAGGAAGGGTGGAGGGACGTGTCAATAAATACCACCAGATGTTGTGATGGTTAGCGGGTGGATAAGCTATTCTTTATTGGCAGTGTCTGAGTTTTGATGGTTACTCTCCGAGTAGAGTAGGGCGGGACAGGCGCAGGCTAGGTCAGCACTTCGGGGGTATGGCCCTACAGTCATTAGCAGGGCATCTCCTACTCCATTGTGTGTGGGCTCAGACTGGGAGGTCCAGGGAGGTCCAGAAAGACATTTATTCTGACAACTGTCACACTCTGAGAGGTCAAATGGTCCTGATCGTGCAGCTGGACGGAATGAGAGAGAGACTAACCAGACTAACCTTTTAGTAAACTGATATCTGACACCGCTCCACTCCACTTTGCCCGTCCCTCTTTGTGTGGCTTTGGTTTAGACCAGGGATCTGTTGTAGTTATTGATCTCAAATGAGCTGGTCAGAATGATAGATCAATGTCTTAGAGTAGGAATGCTGATTTAGGATCAGTTTTGTCTTTAATAAGATCACAATAAATAAGATTACTTGGACAGAGGGGAACTGATCCTCGATCAGCACTCCTACTCTCATCTTTCCATAGAAGTGTCATAATAGTTTGTAGGCCAAACTGTTCAGACGCTACAGCCGGTTTTGGGATGTCTCGTGGTCTGACAAACTGCTCTAGCTCTGCCACCTTTCACAGGATGCGGGGGGATTGTCAGACCATGAGGGATTTTTGTATTATGCTAATTTGATTTCAGTGGGCGCGCAGATCGACCTTAGGGGGTTAATAATATCACAATAAATAAGATTACTTGGACAGAGGGGAACTGATCCTAGATCAGTACTCTAAAACGTTTGATACATACGGCCCCAGAGTGTATTTATGTGGGATCGTCATCGTCCGTTTACTATCCAGAAGGGGCTATTTTAGCTTTTCCGTGCTTGATTATGCAACCACTGTCCTTTTATGTGCTTCTACTTTCCCCTCTATGGGTAGCACGACCTCTATACCCTGAGTGTACAAAACATTAGGAACACCTTCCTAATATTGAGTTGCGCCCCCTTTTGCCCTCAGAACAGCCTCAATTCGTCAGGGCATGGACTCTACAAGGTGTCGAAAGCGTTCAACAGGGATGCTGGCCCATGTTGACTTCAATGCTTCCCACAGTTGTGTCAAGTTGGCTGGTAGTGGATCTCTACTCCGAATAGCTCGTTCCATCTCATCCCACAGATGGTCAATTGGATTGTGATCTGATGGCTGGGCAGGCCACTGCAGTAAGCTGAATTCACTGTCATGTTCGTGGAACCATCCCGGGACAATCCTAGCCTTGTGGCATGGGGCATTATCCAACTGAAAAACTAAATTCACAGATGGATACACTACTGCCATGAGGGGATGCACCTGATTGACAATGATGTTCAGATATCCTGTGGCATTCAAACGTTGCTCCACTTTTAACAAGGGGCCCAATGTGTGCCATGAAAACACATCCCACACCATCACACCACCACCACCACCAGCTTGCAATGTTGACACGTGGCGTGATGGATGCATGTACTCATGTGGTTTTCTCCATACCCTAGTACTACCATCAGTGTGAAACAGCAGGAACCGGCATTCATCAGACCAGTCAATGTTTTTCCAATTCTCCAGTGTCCAGTGTTTTCCACAGTTTCTTGATTTTTGCTGAAAGAAGTGGAACTGTGTAAGGTTGTCGGCTGCCATACCCCATTCGTGTCAAGGTACGATGAGTTGTGCAGTCTTTTATGGGTATTTGGGCACCAATGTTGTACTGGACTGTCAGTTGACTAACTGTAGCCCATTTGCCCATTTGTCACCGGTGACGTGTTAGCCTCCTTTGTCTTCTTTCATCAGTGACCTGTTTCCGACCACTGGCCTGCCGTTGGCTGGATCTCCTTTGGGTGGTGGACCATTCTTGATACGCACGGGAAACTGTTGAGCATGAGAAACCCAGCAGCTTGGCAATTCTTGACACACTCAAACCGCTGCGCCTGGCACCTACTACCTTACCCCGTTCAAAGGCACTTAAAACATTTGTCTTGCCCATTCACCCTCTGAATGACACATACACAATCCATGTCTTAATGGTCTCAAGACTTAAAAATCCTTCTTTAACCTGCCTCCTCCCCTTCATCTACACCGATGAAAGTAGATTTAACAGGTAGCTAAGTTGGTAGAGCATGGCGCTTGCAACGCCAGGGTTGTGGGTTCGTTTCCCACGGGGGGACTTTATGAAAATGTATGCTCTGGATAAGAACGTCTGCTAAATGACTAAAAATGTTTTTTTTTAAATGTAAAAATGGATCATAGCTTTCCCCTGTTCAGTCTATGTCATGGAAATAGCTGGTGTTCCTAATGTTTAGTACACTCAGTGTAGCTGGAGAATTCTGCAACCCTTGTGCTTTCGTACACTGCTTCAAACCACCTCTTGTATTTTCAAAGTACAAACCCCAGCAGAAATATTTTATAGGGTTGTATAGAAAATACACCTGCTGCTGCTACAGACAGCTGTTATTGTGTTAAACTGGTGCCAAGGTCCTTAGAGAAAGTATTTGCCCACCGTTTTAGTCTGGGTTTCTCAAAGCTCTCAGACTCTTTAGTTGTGCCAAAATGGCACCCTATTCACTATATAGTGCACTACTTTTGAACAGGGCCCATAGGGCTCTATGTAGTTGTGCACTATGTAGGGAATACAGTGCCATTGGGACGTAGCCTTTGGAATTTGCTCACTGGTAATACATAAGAAAATGTTGAAATGTTAATGCGGTTTTGTTTGTGTCCCTCAATCAGGAGATTCCGTTCTTATCTATATTATGGTTGTAAGAAGTGCCACAGAAATAGTTTTCAAGAAGAGACTGTTCTCTCATTGCTCTCCCTCCTATTGTGTGGTTTGCCTGTGGGCTATGCATCTGGCACTCTAGCAAAGTGTCTGAATCATCTTATGCACACAAATATCCTATAATCATAAAGTTAAACATCAATCAATAAATAAAGCAATCAATCAGTTATAGAGTTAAAACGTCCACTGGATGACATGTAGATAGCATGAATATATCCTATAATGATTCTAACCTCTCTCTCTGTGTGTCTGTATGTCTGTCTGTCTGTCTGTCTGTCTGTCTGTCCGTCCGTTTCAGGGGAAGAAGTTTGAGATCCTGCCTGATGGCCTTCCGTCGGCCCGTAAGCTGATCTACTACACCGGTTGTCCCCTGCGGTCCCGCCACCTCCTACAGCTGCTCAGTAACAGCCACCGCCTCTACATGAACCTGCAGCCTGTCCTCAAACAGGTCCGCAGGCTGGAGGAAAACGAAGGTAAACTACCTGGACACACCTGGTACTCACCTGCCTCGTCATACGTGGTCATAACCTGTACCTGGTACCTACCTACCTGGCCATTCTTCACACTGGAGCATTCTGGCTACCTACCTGGCCATGCTTCCATACTAGAGCAGACTGGCTCTTATATGCTGTCTCTCTGCTTCTCTTGTGTCTTTCAGCATACCTCAACTTAGCCAATTGTAATGGTGTATATGTTATGTGTGAGCCTCTCTGACTAACAACAGCTTTGCTACTGCTGTATCTAACCCTCTGTGTGTGTCTATCCCTCCTCTCCAGAGAAGAAGCAGTACCGTGAGTCGTACATCAGCGATGCGTTGGAGCTGGATATGGACGGGCTGGACAAGCGTTCCCGGGCCAGCGGCAGCAGTGCCGGCAGCACCGTGTCTCACCTCAAACACCTGTCACGCCACTCTACCGCCAGCCACGGCAGCTCACACACCTCGGGCATCGAGACAGACAGCTTCCGGGCCCCCGGAGGGGCCCCACACCGAGCCCTAAGGACCTGCAGCTCCTCAACGACTAGCCATGGGAGCTCACACACCTCGGGGGTGGAGAGTGGGGGCAAGGAGCGCATGCTGGATGATGATGGTAAGGCAAACAATTGCACACACAGCAAGGGATATACACATGGAACACATACACACATACACACACATACACACACACACACACACACACACACACAGACACACAGACACACAGACACACAGAGAGCAAGACTGAATCTACCTCCTCCCCCTTAAAGAAGTATATTCTTCTCTTGTGCAATGTGGCAAGGCATTGTTATTCTGTTCATCATGCCTGCTCAGCTAGTGATCATCACTGACCCTCTGGGTGTCTGTCCCTCCAGAGAATAATAGTAGTGTCTGTCTGTCTGTCTCTTCAGAGATTGAGATGTTAGTGGACGACCCTAAAGACTATGAGGAGCTCCATGAGCTGGCCCTAGAGTTGAATCAGGACCTGTGCATCCACATCACTGAGGACATGCTGACCATGTCCCCTGACCAGACCAACGGATACTCAGGTATACAACCACTTCCTCGCTGTATTCGTTCTCCGTCTAAGGATAGCCCCTATCTCAGTGCGTTGAGACGGGTTGAACTGTAATTTGGCTGGGCAGTCATTGGATGGAGTAGTAGTAGTAGTAGTAGTAGTATTAGGAAGTAGTAGTAGTAGTATTAGGAAGTAGTAGTAGTAGTAGTAGTAGTAGTAGTAGTAAGTAGTAGTAAGTAGAAGTAGTAGTAGTAAGAAGTAGTAGTAGTAAGAAGTAGTAGTAGTAAGAAGTAGTAGTAGTAAGAAGTAGTAGTAATAAGTAGTAGTAGTAAGAAGTAGAAGTAGTAATAAATGTCATCCTCTCTGTCTGTACCGTAGGGCTCATAGTGAAGGATGTCAGCTCGTCCACCTCCAGTTCCTCTGAGACCGTGGTCAAGATGAGAGGCCAGAGCATCGTGTCTCTCCCTCAGGTCAGTGACAGTGACGGCATCTCCTGTTTGGTACTTACATTTGAGTTATTTAGCAGACACTCTTATCCAGACCGTGACAGTACCCCCCCCTTGACGCGCGGCTCCAGCCGTGCGCCGACTCCGGCCTCGGGGACGCCCAGGAGGGCGCGGCGCCGGGCGCGTAGGATGACCACGATGGAATTCGGTCATCAGGGACGGATCCAGAATATCCCTCCTCGGCACCCAGCACCGCTCCTCCGGACCGTACCCCTCCCACTCCACGAGATATTGGAGACCCCCCATCCGGCGTCTGGAATCCAGGATGGTCCGAACAGTGTACGCCGGAGCCCCCTCGATCTCCAACGGGGGCGGAGGAGTCTCCTCAATCTCGAAGTCCTGGAGTGGACCAGCTACCACCGGCCTGAGGAGAGACACATGGAATGAGGGGTTAATATTCTGGTAATCAATAGGTAGTTCTAACCTGTAACACACCTCATTCAATCTCCTCAGGACTTTAAAAGGCCCCACAAACCGCCGACCCAGCTTCCGGCAGGGCAGGCGGAGGGGTAGGTTTCTGGTTGAGAGCCAGACTCGATCTCCAGGTGCGTACACTGGCCCCTCACTGCGGCGTAGGTCGGCGCTCGTCTTTTGTCGACGTATGGCACGCTGCAGATGGACATGAGCAGCGTTCCACGTCTCCTCCGAGCGCCCTACCCACTCATCCACAGCGGGGGCCTCGATCTGGCTCTCATGCCACGGTGCCAGAACCGGCTGATACCCTAAGACACACTGAAAAGGGGTTAGTCTAGTGGAGGAGTGGCGGAGAGAGTTCTGTGCCATCTCGGCCCAGGGCACATATCTCGCCCACTCCTCCGGCCGGTCCTGACAATATGACCTCAGAAACCTACCCACATCCTGGTTGACTCTTTCGACCTGCCCATTGCTCTCCGGGTGGTAACCCGAGGTAAGGCTCACCGAGACCCCCAAACGTTCCATAAATGCTCTCCAGACTCTGGAGGTAAACTGGGGGCCTCGATCAGACACTATATCCTCGGGTACCCCGTAATGCCGGAAGACGTGAGTAAATAGAGCCTCAGCGGTCTGTAGGGCAGTAGGAAGACCCGGCATGGGAAGGAGACGACAGGCCTTAGAGAACCGATCCACAACGACCAGGATGGTGGTATTCCCCTGAGAGGAGGGAAGATCGGTAACAAAATCCACCGATAGATGAGACCAGGGTCGCTGTGGAACGGGCAGGGGCTGTAATTTACCCCTGGGCAAATGTCTGGGTGCCTTACACTGGGCACATATTGAGCAGGAGGAGACATAAACCCTCACATCCCTGGCTAATGTTGGCCACCAGTACTTCATACTAAGGCAGTGCACCGTCCGGCCAATACCCGGATGTCCAGAGGAGGGCGACGTGTGAGCCCAATAAATCAACCGATCCCGGACCTCGAGCGGGACGTACGTCCGACCCACCGGACACTGTGGAGGACTAGGGTCGGTACGTAACGCCCGCTCGATCTCCGCATCGACCTCCCACACCACCGGTGCCACCAGACACGACTCCGGTACTATGGGAATGGACTCCACGCACCTCTCCTCCGCGTCATACCGGCGGGACAGAGCATCTGCCTTCCCGTTCTGGGACCCAGGGATGTAAGTGATCTTAAACACAAACCGGGCGAGAAACATAGTCCATCGAGCCTGGCGAGGATTTAGTCTCCTAGCGGCCCGAATATATTCCAGGTTACGGTGATCGGTCAGAATAAGGAAAGGGTGCTGAGCCCCCTCAAGCCAATGCCTCCACACCTTTAGGGCCTGGACTACGGCTAACAGCTCCCTGTCCCCTACGTCATAATTCCGCTCCGCCGGACTGAGCTTCTTAGAATAAAAAGCACAGGGGCGGAGCTTAGGTGGTGTACCCGAGCGTTGAGATAGAACGGCCCCAATACCGGCCTCGGACGCGTCTACCTCAACTTGAAACGGTAAAGTGGGATCCGGGTGCGCCAACACCGGAGCCGAGGTAAACAGGTCCTTCAGTCTCCCAAAAGCCCTGTCCGCCTCAGCCGACCACTGCAAGCGCACCGGACCCCCCTTCAGAAGAGACGTAATGGGAGCTGCCACCTGTCCAAAACCCCGGATAAACCTCCTCTCCAAATTGCCCTGTGGCAGCCTCCTGCTGCCCAGCCGCCCAAGCCATGTGCCCCCCCCAAAAAATTTTTTGGGGTTGCCTCTCTTCCATCCGACGATGGCCCTGCTGACGCCGTTGCTCCTCTCTCGCCAGGGCCTTGATCCTTCCCCAAGGTCCCTTGCCCCCGAGCATGTCCTCCCAGGACCAGATTTGCCCACCTGGGCCATCGCCAGCCTCTCTATCTCCTTACCCGGCGCTTCCTCCCATGTCCAGTCTCCTTGCTCCTGGACACGCTGCTTGGTCCTTCTACGGTGGGTTTTTCTGTCACGATCGTCTACGAAATGAGTGGACCAAGGCGCAGCGTGCGATACGAACATGACTTTATTAAATTAAAGTACTCAATACCAAAACAACAAACAATGACGATACGTGAAGTCCTCTGTAACACTGACAGAAACAATGAGTGTATTCAACTAAAGTAGATAAAACAATTATGATCATTGATTCCTTTACACGATCAAGTAAAACCTTCATAAAAAATATCCGCTCTCTGCGAAATCATTGCTAGAAAGAATGAAGGAAAAGGTACAACAGAACATCAGTTTTGACGTAGTTTGTTTAACTTAATACATTTGCTGATTGTTTTGCTTCTGTTCCGTTCCCCAGACCTCCGTGTGCAGGAAGCCTCAGACGTCGACGGACCGCCACAGCCAATCCCTTGATGACGTGCGTCTCTACCAGAAGGGCTGCCTCCAGTGGGCGGAGCTATGCCAGGACACCGCCCACAGCTACACCTTCGGCTGCGCCCAGGAGCTGAGCGACAGCAGCGGTTACCAGGGCAACCTGGCTGAGCAGTGCGCCGGTATCCGCGGTGACCAGCTTGACGGCTTCCCAATCAAGAGAACCAGCAAGTACTTTTCCCTGGACCTGACCAGCGAAGAGGTCCCAGAGTTCGTGGTGTGATGGACGAACAGGGAAGATGGGGATGAGGAGGAATGGATGAGGCAGAAAGGGTGACCTCAAGACCCCTGCTCCTCTGCCTCCACATCTCAGAATTGGAGGTGCCTCAGGAAACCGAATGGGACGAGAGAAGTGGGTTGGAGGTTTGGAGAGGTGATACTTGGTTGTCTATCTGTTGCCCTAACCTATCAGTCATAACCTGTGTCAGCCATAACCAGATGGAGGATAAAATCCCTACATCCACCAGACTGACATCACCAGTCAATATAACCATGTAACCACCTGAGACGACATACATAACACACTACAGAGACAAATAACTGACATTGAAAGCCCTTTGAGGTATTTTTTGCCAAAACGGGAATAAAACAAAAAAAAGGATAAACCTTTGCTGGGTTTCAAGAAAACCTGTCTGCGTCTTTTAAATCGGACCGATGCTGGTTGGGGATGGAGAGTAAAAGGAAAAGTAAGGGAAGGTCAAGAAATATCTCACCATCACCTTTTTATTCAAACTGTCTGCATTTCCAAAGCATGTACTCTCTACAGAATGGTTTTTGGATCTGAATCTTGGGCATGCGAAGCTAAATAATACTTCAGTCTCACAGAAAACAAAAACAAACATTCTGATGTTAACACACTTACGTGTGCCTAGTATGACTTTACTAATGCAGTGCAAACAAATTAACAAACACACACACAGCCTACATATCAAAATGTTCTGCCATGGAGAGTAGATGTGTCAACAGTTCCCCTGTAGAGTTGTCTCCTAGTGTAGTGACTAGACTGATATTATGAACAAACCCAATGTGCCTTCATCACCTATGCAGGTCTTGAACCACAACCTTGCCTTGACAATCAGTCACAGCTTCTCGCTAAGCAACACAACACGCCCAGATGAGTCAAAGAGATCAGTTTTAAGTCATAAGGTCAATTTTAAGCTCTTCATCTGTAACTTTATTCTTGGTCAGCAGTACATTGTTATTTAAAGGCCCAGTGCAGTCAAAAACTTGATTTTTTCCCCTAGTTTTTCTATACATTGCCACGCTATGATGATGGAACAATACTGTGAAAATGATGATAATTCCCTTTTAGTGTAAGAGCTGTTTGAAAAGACTGCCTGATATTTTAGCCTGTTTTGGTGGGATGAAGTTTTGGCCTGCCTGGTAACAAGAAAGAGAGTTCCAAACCTCTGCCAATAACAGTTAGTTTTCCCCTCCCCACTCAGACCTCTCCCAGACAGTCCTAGCAAAAGTATTGCTTGAGAAATTGCTCTTTGCTAAGAAGCTATTTTTGTTTATTTTTGACCATTTTAACTGAAAACAGTAAGCTACTTAATTGTTACCCAGAAATGATTTGATATTCAGATAAAAATGGCTGCATTGGACCTTTAATCATTGACCTCAGAGTTTAAACATCATTATTCAAACAGTTTTAGCAGATTAACCAATAATCAATGAAGGGTATTACCCTTATAAGGATGTCATTTACCATCCCTATCCTAGCTTTATGTTAAACGTGTCAGACTTATTTAAATCTGTGGCAGTTAGTTTCCTGTCATGTGAAATGTAGCCCAGATGACGTCATGGGCTGGTTCAGGACTTCCTGACAACATCATTGGCTGTTTCAGGTATGATGCTTGGGGCAGGATGAGTTTCTACATGCCCTCATCTGTCTGTCTGTGTACAGAGCTGAGGAAAGCATTGATGTAATCTACACACACACACACACAAAATGGAGCTGGGTTGGCCTTAGGCCAGCTATGAAACTGACATTTTGACTTTGTTCTTTCTGTATGTTGATATTTTTTTAACGTTTTTTTGGCTGCCTTTGTTAGTTTTAAGGACTGTCTTTTGTTTGTTTTGTCTCTATTATTATTTCAAATTGGAACTTGTTACAACATTTGTTTCTTTTCATTTTATAATTTTAGCTGATTGGAAGTAGAAAGTGTAATATTTTTTGTATGGAGCGTTTTAGAACATTGAGATTTGTTGTATATGTTGAAAAGGTATTCTTTGTGTGCAGTTGGTGTATTTCAGTATTATAAGCAAAGTACACTCACAGGAGAGTTTATTAGGTACACCCATCTAGTACTGGGTCGGACCCCTCTTTGCCTCTAGAACAGCCCAAATACTTCAGGGCATTCTACAAGGTGTCGGAAACGTTCCACAGTGATGTTGGTCCACGTGATGGCATCACACAGTTGCTGCAGATTGGACGGTGGTACATTCATGCTGTGAACAGCCCGTTCCATCTCATCCGTGACAAGGGTCGATGATTTGTACGTTCCGAGATGCCGTTCTGCACACCACTGTTGTACTGCTCCGTTATTTGTCTGTTTGTGGCCCGCCTGTTAGCTTGCACCATTCTTGCCATTCTCCTTCGACCTCTCTCATCAACGAGCTGTTTTCGCCCACAGGACTGCCGCTGACTGGATGTCAACCCTAGACACTGTCGTGCGTGAAAAACCCAAGAGGGCGGCCATTTCTGAGGTACTGGATCCGGTGCGCCTGGCACCGACGATCATACCACGCTCAAAGTTGCTTAGGTTACTCGTTTTGCCCATTCTAACGTTCAATCGACAGTAACTGAATGCCTGTCTGCCTGCTTTATATAGCAAGCCACAGCCACGTGACTCACTGTCTGTAGGAGCGATCCATTTTTGGAGAACGGGGTGGTATACCTAATAAACTGTCCGGTGAGTGTATGTGACAGTTACAAACCTGTGACACCAAATTCACTTATTTTCAATATTGGGCCCCTTTTTACCCAGGGATAGTCGTAATTTCAATTTACAGTAGCTGAAGAACGTTGATACCTAATGATTTTTTGCTTTGCTCAGTTAATTGGCCAAGAGCTAAATTTTTTTGCACAAGGTGTGAAACCCAACACTACAATATAAAGTGAGATTTCTTATACCTTACTTTCCATTAAGGTGTGGAAACAGACAAGACTACCCTCTCTTGCCTCTTTTATTCGCTATCGCCATATAGAGATTTCTTACTATTAAATCTCCAAACCGTACCTACTCAATATACATTTAAAATAGCGCTTGTCTTCCAAATTTGTCTGGCATTCAGTACTTTTGCATTTATACCCCAGTCAGTAAACCTTATTGAGAAGACCGTTTCAGTGACCTCCTCATTTTATGTGTGGCAATAGTACATTAGGCATGGACAGTTGTATTCCAACCCTCATTCACATGATCTAATATCTCTAGAGTAATGAACAAAACTAATTACTACTTCATGATTTATTTGGAATTCGAAACTACTGTGTATCTCAGTTAAGCAATAATTTGTTAGTGTGGATCAACATTCTAGCTGAGCTTTTCCATTGCTGCGCCAAAGAGCTTTATTCTAGAACCTTCTAAAACCGTTAGAATGTTTTAGAAGCAGCTCTGCTGTGGTACAGTGGAGAGACCTGACATTTTCACTTATCTTCACAGCTGGTCTCATCAGCTGGACACATTGGCTTAGAATACTGAGCAAGGCATTTTGGCCTAGAACCACAGAGCAAAGCATCTTGGCCTAGAACCACAGATTAGGCCAAAGCAGCAAGACACGATTGTTGGAAAGAAATGTGTAATAATTAATACACTTATGAATTTGATATCGTTGTGTGATTTCAAAGCAAAGATTAATGCTGTAACAGTTTATTTCTAACAAGATGTTGTTACTTGCTTCTCTATTTTTACTCGGTTATTATTATTTCTACTCATTAATAATGGGTATCTGAACAAACAGAAAGACTGTGGTTCACATGTTGAAATGTGTCCAGGTACATAGCCATAAAACCAGAACCACAACCTGAAAACGTTTGTATTTGGTTAAACTCTACTTTGGTGACTTAGGCTACAGTGCATATCATAAGTATTCAGCCCCCTTGGATTTCTTCACAATTTGTGTTAAAGTGATATTAAAATTGATTTAATTGTCATTTTTTGTCAACGATCTACACAAAATATTCATGTGAAAGTGGAAGAAAAATTGTTGAGTATGAAAAACCCAGCAGCGTTGCAGTTCATAACACACTCAAACCAGTGGGCCTGGCACCTACTACCATACCCCGTTCAAAGGCTATTTTGTCTTGCCCATTCACCCTCTGAATGGCACACATACACAATCCATATTTCAATTGTCTCAAATCCTTCTTTAACCTGTCTCCTCCCCTTCATCTACACTGATTGAAGTGGATTTACCAGGCAATATCAATAAGGGATCATAGCTTTCACCTGGATTCACCTGGTCAGTCTATGTCATGGAAAGTGTATCTTGATTAGATACATATTTCACCCACCTGAGTCAACACATGTTAGAAACACCTTTGGCAGCGATTACAGCTGTGAGTCTTTCTGGGTAAGTCTCTTAGAGCTTTGCACACCTGGATTGTGCAATATTTGCCCATTATTCTTTCAAAATTCTTCAAGCTCTGTCAAGTTGGTTGTTGATCATTGCTAGACAGCCATTTTCAAGTCTTGCCATAGATTTTCAAGCAGATTTAAGTCAAAACTGTAACTAGGCCACTCAGGAACATTTTCTTGGTAAGTAACTGCAGTGTAGATTTGGCCTGTTTTAGGTTAGATTAATTTGTCTCCCAGTGTCTGGTGGGAAAAAGAATGAACCATTCTGTTAATTTTTATCATGAAAAACTCTCTAATCCTTGCCGATGACAAGCATACCCATAACATGATGCAGCCACCACCATGCTTGAAAATATGGAGTGTAGTACTCGGTGATGTGTTGTGTTGCAGTATGAATTGTTTAGAGCCTTTTCACTCTGTCATTTAGGGTAGTATTGTGGAGTAACTACAATGTTGTTGATCTATCTTCAGTTTTCTCCCATCACAGCCTTTAGACTTTGTTACTTTTTTTAAATCACTATTGGCCTCATGGTGAAATCCCTGAGTGGTGTCCTTCCTCTGCTGGCAACTCCATTAGGAAGGACGCCTGTGTCTTGGCTGTATTGATACACCATCTAAAGCTTAGTTAATAACTTTACCATGC